GCTCCAGCCCGGGTGCCTGCGGGGTCCGGGCTGGCTGGGCAGAGGAGCAGCACGTGCTAGGGATCTGGCCTCCCAGCTGCTGCCGGCAGAGGCAGCGGGGGGTGAAACGAGGACAAAGGGACGTCCTGCCAAAAAACGCTCGAGTGACAGCGGGCCGGGACAGCGCAAGGCAAAGCAGGGCATGGCCGCCCGGAGCCGGACGGGGCTGCGTTTTGGTGCGCATCAGGAGCGAGCACCTCGCAGCCCCTCTGAGGTGGCTCTGGCAAGGCAGGGCGCGATCTAGTTTGGGGACTTCTGCTCTCCGCACCCAGAAGCATCACTTCTCTGTGCTCCACCCTCCCTGGGTGTTTCTGTAGCCTCCCTTATGTGCGCTTTGTGTTATTTGTAACAACATACTTTCCAGCCAACTCCTGATTATCAAATGCAGAGGGAGCGTTTCCTTTCCCAATTTGATCTGGATCCTTCAAGCATCTCGGATCGTTTCATTGCAAGGATGGGAACAGAAGAAAACATATCTCGTTATGTTTGGAGAACATAATTAATGTGTTTTGGCTTGCCACACCAGCTTTAACAGACAACACGCGCACTCAAATGAATTGGGGGGGGATGAGGGTTGTAATCCATGCTATTATCCTGCATCATGAGACTTCTATTGGTGTAGAGGTGTCTTGAAATACACCCCCCCCCATCACCCTGAGGTTTCATTCTCATCTTGGACATGAGGCCAGGGTACACCTCAGTTCCTTATTGGTGTTGTGGTGGAAGGAGTCCCACAGGCATAATTTCACATACCGTAAAGACTGCTCGACAACATCAGCTTTGTAAGTGTCGGTAGGGTAGATAAGACTTGCAGTGCATTTTGCTGCGAAATACAAATACTGTGCAGCACTCTCCATACTGCAAACTTCAGCTCTAGGTCACAGTCGTCAAAAGATTCGCTGTGACTGGCAAGCTGAATATCCTGTCACGTTATGTCGGCAACAGTGTCCTGAACAAGGGGACGGCGTGAATTCCCATCTCTGGTGTTCCAGGTTGGCAATGAGAAGTGGGTCAACTCTTCTAATGCCCGTCCGAGAAATAAGCATATCCCATTCAGCCACGTTTCTCCAGTCATCGGGCTGCAGAGAAGATGGACGGAGAGCACCAGAAATGGAGCTCACTGTACTTGCAAGAATGGCCCCTCTTTCAAGACAATGTAGGCAGTAAAGTTTGTAACATCTCTCTCTGCTGAATTGCCTCTAAAGGTCAACCTGGAAATTCCCACTCGTGGCATGTCCCCGGTGATGAGCTTCAGCCAGTGACTTATTGCCTCTGCAGCCAGTTTGGCCGAGGCAGAGTACACGTTTGGGCATGTTTTTAAATTTCACCTCAGATTTAGTCGCCGTCATATATTACAGCTTTTTCTTCATCCCTTCCTTAATAAACAAAAGCATTTGGTTTAAGCTGCTGGTTTTTAAATTTTCCAGTTGCAATGTTTTAATAGCGTGCATTATTTGGAAATTGTTGTTTCCCTTCCCCAGGACAGTTGTTCCAAGCTCTCTCCACCGAACCCTAGCGTGCCAGTGGCTGGAACATATGCGCCGACTTTCTAGCCTAGTACACTGGCCTGGTACCAACTGCTTTAAAAACTGAACCATTTCATGTGCAATAAAACTTCCAGACATGGATTTCCCGTGGATTCGTATCTTATGCTGGGTTTTCTGGTGTCCAAGGGGGATCGAAATGGATGCTCGCCTTCTGCCCTCATGCAGTGCCCCAGAAGAGAGGGAATTGGCTCACACTCAAGTCCTGACCGCAGAGGTGGTATGAATACAGTTGGCTCAAGTCCCTTGGCCCTCAGAGCTCCAATTCAAGCGTGAGCACGCTTGCTAAATGCCATATACATGGAATCACAATGCCAGTTGCAATGGACTCGTTGAAATAGCGCCCATTTAAGAAAACCATGACCTATGCCTTTGATTTACAGCTGATTTGGACTCTTGCATTGCCATGGAGGCACCAAACCAGCTGTGTGCGAGAGCCAGCTCGCATGAATAAATTATGAATAAATGCCATGCACCTCGCTCCGTTTGCTTGTGAGGCGGATGCGTGCGTGGAATAGCTGCGCTCGGAGCAGCAGAGAGCGCGGATGCCTTCACTGTAGTGCAGAGGCTCAAAACTCGGGTTTTATAGAGGCAGTGCAAAGCAAGCCTGCATGTATATTCGTGAGGGCGCTGTCTGGGGCAAGGGCAACAACATTGCCATTGTGCAAGCAAACAGGGACTGATTTTTAATCTACATCAGATGTAGGCAAGGAAGGAGGTCACCTTTAGCGATCTTGTAAACATAACCTCCTCTGTCTCATGCTGTTTGAGTTTGCAAGCTGGATCCAAAGCAAACGCTGGGAACACAAAGGCGGCTGTAGGAGGGCATCTGGTGATGTGCTGGGACAAATGAGATGCTTAGTAAAACAGAAGGTGTTCCCATGACTTTTGGCAAGGGGTATAGCTTGACAGTCCACAGCTTCTCTGGTAGTCTTGAAGCTATGGGAGAGCCAGAGATATCAGAGGTTTTGTGTCGATGAAAGGAACATGTATATAATTTATCTTGTCTGAGGAGCTTGAGGCTGCTTCCAGTGGGAAAGCTGAGCTGTAATTAGGTTGCTGATGAGCCTTGTATACAAACTGTTCAGCTCTATAAACTACGTGTTCAAAAGCATCCCTTCTCCTAGGGACTAACCAAGGAAGAATTCTAGCATTATTTCCAGGGAGTTGATTGATGCCTTTCTGAAACCAGATGCTCGGCAGCCAGCCACTGCACTTACAGTAACTGAAAGCCTTTAGGCCTGTTAGCTTTTTTAGACTGTCACTAAACCCCCTGGCTGCAAGGGGATGCTTTGATAGAGGAATACCCTTACTGAATTGGTTTCTTCATGCATTTGTAGCTATTGGAGTGCTTATTTACAGACCTGTGGGCTCATAGCCAGACCACCTGCATTGCTCAGGGGCTGAGGTGCTGTGACCTGCCCTGAGACGCTCCCTGGAGAAGGTTCAGCTGGACCTGGGAACATTAATGGTGCTGGTTAGGATGCAGAGGTCTCACATGGACGCAGGAGACGATGGTGCTTGTTGATTTATTTATTTTTTTATTACGCTGACTTGGAAGTACTGTTTAAGTAAAACTGATAGAGAAGCAGGATAGGAAGGACCTTATGGAATAGTCCATCTGGTAGCCTTTTTTGCTGCCAAGCCGTAGGTTCAAACCAGACAGGTGACATGAGGCGCCTCCCCGCCCCAGTCCCCACTGGAACTTGTCACTATGGGGCTGTAACTGTGTGCAGGAGGACGCATGCATCTCTTGCATGCTCTGAGCTTTGCTGTTGTCCATCTCTCACATATGGTAGTCCTAATTCCCCAAAGTGGGACTGTGGAGGTTTTCTTTGTTTGTAATAGCCTGAATGAATCTGTCTGTCTCGGTTAAGTGATGTGGCTCCCAGTGCTGTACCCGGACCATCACATGGCCTGATGTGTTTACTTTCACAGTCCCATCTTAATTTTTCTCTATATAGATAGAGAAAGAAGAGAATGATTTTTATGAAACACCACCCAGCCCAGTAAACACAGAAGCACTATCAAGAGCCCCCTCTTTTACAGCATTTGAGGGCGCAGCAGTAATACTGATCTTCAAAGCTGGGGGTCTGCAGTGGGCAGGGAAGCACAAGGAAGACAACGTTTTGCTGAGCGATGTGGACTGGAGGAGGCGAGGCAGGAAGCACGGCTTCAGCTGCTCCGTTTATTGACGCAGCGGCTCTGCTAGGAAAATCTGATGCCATAATAAGCCATAGTAGAAAACTGACCACAGTCTGGTTGTTCTGTCTCCTGTCCAGCTCACGCTGGCTACATGCAGTGAGTAGTCAGATCGCATCGGCTCTGCCACAGTCCTTGGGTGCCCTGAAGTATTTGTCCGCCGAGTGCTGCACCCCTGAGACATACCCATCTGGTTTGCAAAGCAGTATTGCAAAAGCTGTTGCCGTAAACCCTTTGTCAGCATTCGGCGGGCATAGAGAATCAGAAGGTCAGCTGCTGTGCTGCCCCTTCTCCGTCCCTTCTGTTTTAAATGGTTTGGCAGGGCAGTTTTTTCTCTATTTATTTCCTTTTGTGGTAAACGGGGGGAGTGGATGTGCACTGTTATTCTGAGGCTGTGTGCAGAGCCTGCTCAGCTGCGTTAACAACTGCCTCCTTTATTAGCCATGAAGCAAAGTGGTGAAGCTGGTTACTTTACCAGCCTGGAGCAAAGAATGAAACTAAATGCTGAAGGAACAATACAATTTCTTGTCTAGCTGTTCACAACTTTAAATTGTCTGAATATTTTGCTACTCCACTAACAGTGGAAACAGTACTAATCTGGGCGTAACTCCCTCCTAGCTTGGCCAAGCCTTCGTGTTGGCACACGAGTGAACCTGAGGCAGCGTTTGTGAAGCTGCACTGAGCGACAGAAACGCTGGTAGCGCTCTGCAGAGGTGTAAACTGCAGCGCGCTGAACAGCTGACTTAGAGAGTGCTGCGCACAAGGACGCAGGCGTACTGAATATTTACTCTGTGGTTAAGAACGTCTCATAACAACGTGCTACTGAAATATGCTCTCAGGAGCTGGTGTAAACGTTTGCTTGTTAGTGTTACGCACTGAATCAGTGCAAACCAGAAGGGTGCAAAACGGCACACTGAGAAGACGCGACTACTAGGGAACCATCATCTGGAGAGAGGAAAATCAGAGGGTAACATATTTCAGCCAAATTCTGATATGCCGGCTGGAGCGTGCAGTCTCTTACCAGCTAATCAGAGTTGGGGCAGAGTAGGGCTTTTTAATAGCAAACAATTATTCCTCACTTACAACAGATCATTTTGCTGTACTCCATGTGCGGAAGGACGATGGTGCTATAGCGAGCAGAGGCAGTTGCATTGCTGCCCAGCACCTTTGGTGCAGGCTGTTGCCCGATGCCTTTCTCTCCACTCTGTCTTTCAGGCCATGGAGAATGTCACTGTGGGGAGTGCAAGTGCCATGCTGGTTACATCGGGGACAACTGCAACTGCTCCACCAAGACCGACAGCTGTGTTTCCAATGACGGTCAGATGTGCAGCGGCAGAGGCAACTGCATCTGTGGGAAATGTCAGTGCACCGAACCTGGGGCTTTTGGAGAGACGTGTGAGAAATGTCCCACCTGTCCAGGTGTCTGTAGCACTAAAAGGTACTCATAGCGGTTTTCAGGAGGGACTTGTCACTGGTAGCAAGGGAAACTCTGGTTTCTGGAAGCCTTTTCAGCTACTCCGACTCCATTGAACTGGAATGGTTAGCCCCCTGCAAGCCTACCACAGTGTGGGCCCTTGCTAGGCTCCCCTGCAGCCTGAGAGTTGAAGAAAAGAGGTTGCCTGAGGGATTGGCCTGCCAGAGGCATACGTCTTGCATTTGGCTGTGTTGTAGGCACCGTGTGGACACTACAAAGCAGCAAGCATTGCTGCCCAAGTCCTCATGATGGTTCATGTCCCATCTCGTTTCCAGTGTTCTCCCATTCTGTAGGGGAGGAAGGTGACCCAAGTTCTGCCGCACCCTGAATCGCACATTTCTGGGCCCAGAGAGCTCTGTGCTGCAGATCAGGGGGATGACTCCTGTTCTGCAGCGATGGAGGTCTCCTGGACATTACTCCGAGACTGGCAGAAAGCAATCCATGCTGTCCACCTTGATCTGAAGCAGGATGAATTTTGCAATATCTGACAGGCAGCTCCTGACATCCAAAGGGCAAACAGTCCAAAACCTGCCAGCAAATCTGCAGCTTCATTGAATCCACCCCCAAAATGAAGTTGAGTTGGATCCTTGAGTTGGATATGGTTGGCCATAATGTTTCTCTCATTTGTGATGCAAAAGTGCAACAAACACACAACTAACACATCAAGATTCCCTTTCAGAAATGGTGTAGGTGGCAGGCTAAAGAGTTTGTGTGGTTTTTGAAGGATGCTAAATCTTTCCCTCTGTGTATCTTTTTGAAGGGACTGCATTGAATGCAAGCTGTTTAACTCAGGAAGACTGGCTGATAACCAAACCTGCCAAAAACACTGCAAGGATGAGATCATCACACCTGTGGATGTTCTCAGTAAGTACGCAGCAGCAGAACTGCAGAAGGCGGTAGCCAGTGACTGCTGCACTGAGCGCTTCCTAACCAGATCAAGATGCGTTTTTAAAGAAAGCCTCAGGTAGCTCCCTGTATTTAGAAAGCATAATGGGTGAGCCTGTCTCCAGCCTGTGATCTATACTGATTTGAATATTCATGCTAGCAATTCTCTCTTGCTTTTATGTTATTATTTCCGTTTTAACTGCATGTTAGAGCTGCAGTTTCGATGCTAAGTAAAAATAATTTGCTTTTAAATTACATATTAAATTCTGGATCCAAGCAGTGGTACATGATGGTAATACAACGACCTTGTTCCCTTTTAGAAGGAAACTCATCAGTTTTGTTTAATGAAGTCATTTAGAAGGAATAATTATTCTTACTAATTGGACATGCTGGTTTGTTATAGATGTAATACAACCTATTCCCTCTTTTGTAAGGATATTCATATGTAAGTCCTGGATGTGCATTTGCTCTTAATGTTCTGCTTGAGAGCAACTGTGACTCTAATTTTCTGAAGGAACGCCTTAGTGGTTCATGTCCTGTTACACGCTACTTCCTTGTTGGCCAAGTAAGTGCCTGCACTCTTACCTTCCTCCAGAGGTGCAAATTTCCCTTTGTTTGAGAGATGGATATAATGAAGTTTATAAAGAGGAGGGCAGTATGAAATTGGCTTCCACGGTGATGACTTGGAGATCCTTGCAACTCTCTATTGAGGAGGAAACTGCTGTGGTTAAGTAACACCCCTTAGTGCTCCTCACAGACCGGGCTGGTTTGAGGGAAGTGACCTCAATAACGTTTGCATATATAACATGCCAACAATTCCCTCTATAGATTATCAAAACCACTGCTTTGAGGAGCTTAAAAATCGGAGGAATCTCTGTACTGAAAAAATTCTCAACTTCTAAAAGGACTTTCCCTAAGAGACATCATATTACTAAGATTTTTGTTTGCCTGCATGGCTGAAATATGGATACTATAACTGAGGAAAGATGGGCCAGATTCTTCAGCTGGCACGAACCAACATATCTCCATTTAAGCAAGCTGAGGCTCTGAAACCAGGCTAGACCCCAGTTATAACCTAAATCCTTATTGCAGCTTCCAGCACACCTTCCCAAGCAAGAGAAAAATGACGCAGCTGGCTAGATCATGCTGTGTTTAAAGAAGTTATTTGGAGGCTTCTAAGCAATGGCCTTCATTCTTTGCAGCACTGCAGCCACATGGACGATGTCTAGGCCCAGTTCCAAGATTTGCTTACCTGCCTCACTGAACATCCCAGTCCGCGCTTCTTAACCCAGTGGCGACACGTTGTGCCCTTGCACCGGGATGGTTGCCTGTGCAAGGAGCAAAGAGAATGGGATGAGAGCAGATGAAAGGAAAGATTAGACAAACCATGAGAGAATATGAAAAAGCAAAATATCCCCATAAAAACATGCTCTGCAAACTTTCTGAGAATGCATCTAGGCTTCTTGGAAGAAGAGAGCTTGTAAGAGAAAGCAAAACTGTTTTGGAGATAATTAGTTTGGCGCTGGCTGTTAAAAATCATCCTCAGCAAGCTCCTCACCTGCCTGTTGTGTCCTCTTCTAGAGGTCACCCCCACACGTGCCTGCCCCAGCGGACAACTTCTCTTTCTCCTCCTCCCTCCCAAGCTTCATTCGGGGAGTTCCTGCACGCTCTTTGAAGGAGTAGAGGGGACCAAACTGTGACAGCTCTAATCCCAGTCCTGCCCCCAGCCTTGGCAATCCACCTTGCAGGGAGGGATAGAGAGGTGGGTGGTTTTGGATCAAGCAAGGATGAATTGTCATTTGTAATCGTCCACGTTTGACATTTTTTCCTCCCTTTTTCGCATAGTTCATAGAGGCAGGGGAGCTATACATTGCATGTCCTCTCTCTCCCTTCCTCCCAGGCTGCCTGCAGGTGATGTTTTTCCCATTGACTCTTCTCATATACCATATCTAACTTTTAAATTACATGACCGGTGGGGTTTCCTACCTTTTCCCGTGGAGGGAGGTCACTCTTGTTCTTTCCACCCTCCTGCAGTTTGCCAAGGAGTGAACCTGTATCAGCTCACTGCAGGAGGTTAAAAGACCATTTTATATACTGCCAAACCACAGGACACTCCTTTCTGATGACTGGGCTGGCCTATGTGTGTTAGAAGCCAGCAAATACTGGGAATTAGAGCTCAACGCTCACGCCTGGGTATTGCACCATGGCAAAGCCAGCTTTGTGCTGACTGCACCCTGGGAGGTTAGGCTGGCCTGTGCTTTGCCAGCTCCTCCATTGCTTTCAGAGAAAAACACAGCCAAATTTCTGGTTTAAGACTTTTGGGGAAATTAATTACACTTATTCTTCTTTTGAACCACTGCAGTCAGGTTCTGGGAAGCGCTGAGCTCTTGGAGGCTCAGAGCACTCAGCATCTTGACGATCTGGGCTGCTAAAGACAGCACTAAAACAAATATTCCTAGCGAAAGTGCTCAGGGACTGCAGGCTTCTTCACAGGCAGACTCAGCCAAAGCATTTTTATATTA